GGTGGTGGTGGTGGTGGGGGGGGTGGTGGTGGTGGTGGTGGTGATGGTGGTGGTGGTGGTGGTGGTGGTGGTAGTGGTGGCGGTCAACTGCATCATGCTTGTGTTAGTGGAGGTGAATGCAGACGTTGTGGCTTGAGCCGTCTGTTCTGCATTCTTGGCGATTGAAGGCAGTTCTTCCGCCCCGTTCCTGTCGGCACCCAGCTCCCCCGCCACATCTACGACAGGAGGGGCCAAACGCTTCATCTCTCCTCGGACCACCGCCACATGGCGCCACTGTCGGCTGTACGTGAGATAGGTTCTGCCTAAGCAAGCCAGTATAATCAGAGCAACGAACACCCACAGAACCCAGCGAACCCAGCGCAGCCGAAAGGTCTCTCCAGGCTCCATCCGTGGCAGTGACCGAACTCAGCGAGTTCCCAAGGAATCGTGTTGCAACAAACAGCTGCAAGCTAGCCCTGGTGAACTCCAGGTAGGCGAACAGGGAGCGACTGCATGGCGTGGCGAGCGTTTAGAAAGGACTGCAGGTCAAAGACCGTTCCGAATCCATCTGTAGATAAGTTTGTTTGTGCATCGGCCAATCCCTTAATCAGACCATGGATGTCTATTGGCATCTTTGCCTGAAAGCCCCTGAGAGGCAATGGTTTAAGTATTTTATCATTGAATCTAACGTTTGTAACTACCTTAGAATATAAAGGTTACTTGCTTCTCCGATATCATGTTTGGGGTTTGGAGTTTGGTGGCTCAAGGGTCCAGGCCCTAGGGCGTTTAGGGTTTAGAGTTTGGGGTTTAGTGGTTTCAGGGTTGAGCGTTTAGGGGTTTGGGGGTTTCGAGGTTTTGGGTTCAGGGCCTCTAACGTGGTATACCATTAACGTGGTATACCATTTAAATCGGTACCTTATTCCAATTCATACGGCCCCGATATTAGCCCGACATGGCTCTTTTGGAGGCAACATCTGCCGTGATGCTGGGGAGACGACGGCAGAACGGCCCATAATAGCTTGACACGGCTTTTGCGAGTTTTTGGTATATTCTCTCCGGGTCTAGAAGTGGATACCGGGACTTGGGTAAGGAAAGAGCTGCAGGAGAACGGTATTTGTAATAATATCCTCGTGCAATCTACACCAAAGCCCCACTCGAACTAAACCCTAAACCCGGCAAAGCGGCGAAAAAAACCCAACTGAACAAGATCGCGCCACTGCATGTTGACGAGGACAAACGACTGTTCTGCATCCTCCCCCTGGAGGAATGAGGATTCGACCCCGATTGAACCCATCGGGTTTGGGACAGACACAGGGTATTTTGGGGGCCCTGATAAGAAGAACGGGGTTTTGTGGTATTTTATGATCTACCTGTAGTAGGGAACTTGTATAGGGAATAGTTTTGGCAACCACGCAGGCTTTATATATTGTGGGGTCTACAAGGGCCCGAGACCTCAAGCGCTGGAACAGCCAGGCCGGAGTCTGGCCTTTGGGCGGTAGGGTTTGGGGTCCGTTAAACGGGCCTCAGGAATAGGAATGGTTCGGGGAGTATCTTGTACCTTTCACATAATCACAAAGTGACTAAAAGGTGAAGGGAAATACTCTAAGAAGTCTTCAGACCCCTATATTGATGGCTCCTTGGTGGACGTGCTCTTCTCTACCGTCACGCCCGGCAGCATGTGCACCTGAAGTACGATGAAACGCCGGGAACTACTCAGAAACCTGGGGCAGTATATGCCTGTTTTATATGTATGTGTATATACATTTGTATATGTGCTAATTTCTGCACATGCATACATACATACATCTTCATTCGTGCACATACTATCATTTTATTCGACACAGTGGGGCGGCGTTTGGAGTGTGCAAGTGCCAAAACAGTGGTCGACGTCTTATGCGTCAAACCTTCAACCCGATGATCTGCACCGACATATTTATTCCATACGTCAGAGGAGTAGCAGCACAAGGGAATGAGCCGAAGCAAAACTGCACTTGCCCACACCAGCACGACGACATACTGCCAGTTTCAGAAAGATGCCGTTTTTGTTCTATGTCGCATATCACCGGGCAGCAACAACACCTTCGGCTTCACTATGGTGGCACATCCAGCAAGGCTTAAATTACTTCTACACCTTTGCTATACACTAGCGGACCGGCTCAAGATCCTCCCTCCAAGTTGTCTGCGCCTTGCCAAGACAGCTGCGGAGTGGCGAACCAGTAGGAGCCAGAGATGTCGCCACCACCCCTGCCGGACCTCTGGATATGCAACCTCGTCCGATCTTTGTGCCAGTGAAAACCATCCATGGCTCCGTCAGCCGGCGTGTGGACAGGCATGTTTGCTTGTGTCAGCATCAGAGCGCCCTGAAGACTGACAGTATAAGCGTGCATGCACGAACCTGGCCAGCCGTATCTAAGTATGGGAACTGAGCTCTGATCCTTGGGCCCGTGCCGGGGCTTGCCCCCACCTGGACAATGCCCCCAGAGAATAACATCGAACGGTGGGATGCTATCGATAACACTTTCGATCCTGGTCGTGAAGTTCGCAGCGAGCGTCGCATCGTCTTCAAAGATCGTCGCGCATGCCCACTGCTCGGCAAGCATCGTCTCGTAGATGCGCCTATGACTGAGTGAGTTAGCCATCTTCGAACTGCATGGGCACTTCTTCTTTCCAGTCTCTCTGGCCAGCTCTTCATCTGTGAGGAAGTTGACGGCTGGCCACAGCTTGAACCTTCCTCGCAAGCCTGCCTTGTTCAACTCGTGCAGAATATGATTGCGTCGTGCTTCTCCGCCAGGACCCGCGAGATTGATGGCAAACCTGTCAAGGTGTCAATGTAAAGAGGGACCAGATGCATGCGTTTTGATTAAGCTTGATGTGGGTTCAGCTGGAACTGGACGGAGGGACTGCAGCGAAGGCACGTGTGATCGAAGGGGTTGCATTTGAACACAGGCGGTATGTCCAGCGTAACATCGTGGCTAATAGGTTGAGCAAACTCAACATCTTCGCCAGCAGTGAGTAAGCCTCCACCGGAGAGATGGCAGGAGCGGATAGAGTCGTAGTAGCCGTCGTCGTCCTAGAAGTAGCGATAGTAGTGGTAATAGCAGCTGTTGCAACAGCAGTAGTGGTAGTGGTAGTGGTA